GGCGTACTTTTTACGTAATAGTCGTTGATTAACTTTACAAAAATTACTCGAAACAGTGTGCTTTTTTTAAATCTATTAATAGTTGATAATTTAAAGTATTATAAAATATAAATTGCAATGATAATGAATTGCTTGTCGGCGACAAGCCGTATTTTGGCATTCTCCTTTTAATAAAAAATATTATCACCAGGTATATTACAAGGTCTTTCAACCAAGTTTCATTTAAGAAACAGATGTCTATATTATCGGGTTGGCACAAAAGTAATGAGACACTTGGTTTAAGTTTTTACTTTTTTATTATTATTACAATAAAAAAAGTTTAGTCAATGATGTAATTACCATTAGTATCTAAGACTTCTTGCCAACGATCCGGCAAAGTTTGGATGCCTTTTGCCCAGAACTCTGATGGCTGTGCCTCGAAAAAGTTGTTCAACTCCGCCTCTACGTCAGAGAAATCATTAAATTGTTTACCCCGCAAATGCTGTTTCAGGGCTCTAAACAAATGATAGTCTGATGGGGCGAGGTCTGGGGAATAAGGTGGGTGGGGTATCGTCTCCCAGCCCAAGGTCTCCAACTGCCGGCGAACCACAGATGCGACGTGAGGTCGAGCGTTATCGTGCAGTAAAACTACATTGACTCGTCTTCGTCGTTTTTTCTTGATAGCGGCAGATAATTTGGTAAGCTGCGTTGAATATTTGTCAGCGTTTATAGTTTCATTGTGTAATAGCTCATAAAACAGTATGCCTTGCGCATCCCAGAAACAGCAAAGCAGAATTTTTCGGCGGTTCTTTTGACTCGGCTTCGGTTGAGTTGGTGGCGTTTCTTCTCGAGGCAGCCAAAAAGCACGACGTGTATCGTTTTCGTAATAAATCCATGATTCATCTCCAGTAACCAGATCTGACAAAAACTCTTTACGTCGGGGTCGCAGCAAAAGTGACTGACAGATAGCGACACGGACTGCACGACTGGCGTCTGTAAGGATGTGCGGTACCCACCGAGCCAAAACTTTTCGATAACCAAGCTCATGCAGATGGTGTTCCACGGCGTGGTGACTACATTTAAGTGCTTCCGCTAATTCACGAGTGGTAGCATCCGGATTCAACTGCAGTTCGCGGCGCAAATCGTCATCATTCACTGCGGGTGGTCGCCCTGAGCGTGGCTGACTTTCAAGGCTCCTGTCTCCTGATTTAAAACGGTCTAACCATCGGGACACCGTCGCATGGCTTGTACTTCCAGCGCCTAATGCATTGTTGATATTGTCAGCCGCAGCCCGCGCACTGTGGCCTAACAAGTACTCGTCGAACTTGTCGCTCTTCCATTTTTCTTCAAACTGACTAAACAAATTGCGAGCGCGGCTTTATATACCCTACACCAGAAGTACCTAGAATGTTCTACAACATTCTAGAATATTATCGAAAAAATTGATTTTAAAAAGGAAATGTTATAGATTTTTCTAGTGTGTCTCATTACTTTTGTGCCAACCCAATATTTTCTCGTAAAAAAAAATATTAAAAGAGGTACGTTATTATAGATATTTTGAATTTTATAAAGGTCAATCCTTAACGTGGAAAGATCATTAATTAATTCATCCATAATTAAGTTAAATTTTTAATTAACATTTCTTTAATTGACAATGAAGTAATTGGAATATCGTCCCCTTATTAACGAACAAGTGTTAGAACTATGAACCAGGGCTCGGAAACGTTATTCAAAATAACGTTTTTAAAACGTTTCTTATCGTTCTTTGGGCAAGATTGCGTTCGAAACGAAAACAAAATGAGAACGCTTTAAAAAACCGGTTTAATCCGCAAGACGGTGCCGCGCGGGCTGTAAGGGCGGCGTACATTTATTTTATTACGTTATTTACAGTATGCGATGCAAAAAAACGCAAAATAAATGGTTAAAAACGTTTTATTAACCGAAAACAATAAAATTCTGTTTTTTTCCAAAATCGTTTTTTATATCGTTCTGTTCGAACGAAACCGAAACAAAGTGTTTTTTAGGTATTTAAGATGAAAACGTTTCGAAAAATATACCGGTTTCCGACCCCTGCTATGAACACCTCACCTCACCTCACTTCACCTCACTTCACCTCACTTCACCTCACCTCACCTCACCTCACCTCATTTCATATGTCTGTATGGTAATGTCTCTTTAAACTAATGTCAATGAATAATTTAATTATTTTTATTTAGGTAGAGCTGGAAAATTCTTAACTTTTTTTTGTGTTGTGTTTGTAAAAGTTTGGGTGTGTATCTTTATTCTTTTTTCCTGGTTCCTTTTCATTTTGTTAGGACATAAATAAGATATTTCTAAGTGGCTAGGCTTGTCGCATTCTTTATAAAAATGTTCGCCAGAGTGACGACTACAGCGTTGTTTGGCATTTGCCAAGAATGTGATGCTAACAGTTTGCATTCTACATAAAGTCACCATAGAATTATTAAGTTCGTGTATAGTTAAATAACCGGTGCGTTTTTTGGTAGGGTATCCACAGTTATGAATAAAACGATTTATGTATGCTATGACTCGTTGAAGGCTGCACAGCTCATAGAATTTTTCTATTATTTAAGATGTATTGGTTTCAGAAATATTGAAATGAGTTAGAAATTGAAATTCTGGCAGTTCAGAATCTATGTTTGTGTTGGTTGAATTGGCCAAATGGGGGACCTGACCACCATAAGCTACTACGTTCTAAAATCGAACCCTATCCTGACCGACTTTTTCGTGAATCTACACACTGCTATAATTTCATATGTTAATGATAATTTGTCATAAAGTCACATTGAGTTACATTGCTTAAATATAACTGCAATTTTATTCGCATTCACACGATGAATCACCACAACTCTTCTGACGTCTGTACTAAATATATATTTTTTTTATTCGAGGTTTAATTTACAATCAGTGTTGCAGGTTTAGTGGGTTGTGAAGTGTGTTCTTCAGTTCTTACTGAAGATGTAGATGTAAATAATAAGGAGATGTTCTTACATCTTACATCTCCTTATTATTTACATCCTCATCTCTCTATAGGACATCCTTCCATTTAAGTCGCTTATTGTAACTCCGAGTTATAAGTGGTTTTGTTAGTTTATTTAGGTGTGTTTCCAGTCTGATTCTATATCTTTGAGTAGCTATGTCTATTTCTTGCTTAACTGTTGTTATTTCCAGGTATGCATGGATTTCGTTATTTGTTATATATATACCATGGCACATTACTAATGGTTCGGAGGATCATATTTTGGACCCTTTAAAGCCATAGGTCCATTGCGGTCTAAGAAAAACTTTATACACTAAAAGTTTGTTATCCACTGACAATTTGCTATTGCGCCCCACTAGCCATAGAAGATGTTTATAGGGAATGCTCAGTTTTGCTGTCTTTTTCTTTATATTCTCTCCCCAAGTAAGACGTTTGTCCAGATGTATCCCCAGGTATCGAATACAGGTTTCATGTGGGAGATGATTATTTTCTAATTTCACTGAAGGGTAGTCGCCTTTGTTAATTGTGAAAATGACATGAACGCCTTTTGACGAACTGGCTTTAATTTTCCACTTCTGCAGCCATTCTGTAATGTCATCTAAGCCTCTTTGTAGTAATTGCCTTGCTGTATTTGGATTTTTGTTGTTTGCCAGAATGGCAGTGTCAACAGCAAATGTAGCAGTTGTAATATCCTGCATTACAGGTAAGTCAGCTGTATTAATTGTATATACGGTCCTGAGACTGAGCCTTGTGGTAAAAAAAATTAGATTTCTCCTAATTCTTTAACTCGCAAGATTCTTTCGTCTATATAGAAGTCAAGATGCTGGCGCTAACTGTATGGAAGGCTATATTTTAGTAGACCTTTATGCCAGACCCTATCAAATGCTTGTTGGATATCCAAGAAAACTGCAGAGCAATACTCTTTTTCTTCAAGAGTTTTTCTTATTGTCTCATGCACTCTATGCACTTGCTCTATAGTGGAGTGTTCCTGTCTAAACCCAAATTGCTTAGACATCAATTTATTACATTGTTCTCGTTTAAAATTGGAAGGATTCTGCGAAGCAACAATTTCTGGAAGATCTTGGACAAGTAGTCTTGTTTTAGTACGGTATCAATATCCTCTAATCAAATTTGAATAGGGCTCTTATTGCCCAGACATTCTTTATTGTCACTTTATATAAAAACTTTAAATTCATAGTTAGAGGAATTTTCAGAATAAAGTCTCTTATAATTTGGTTTTTTAAAAATGGAATAAAGTTCGGACTTTCCTCACCGCCGCCGCTGTGTGTGTATTTTCATCTCGATCTCGATTAGCCCATTTGCCCGAAGGTGCCGGGCCTGCAGTGGCCGGGGGGATATCACACCCGACCTCACAGCTTAATATGTTATCTTTACAAATATAATTAATATTTACGAATATCTTATTTAAACTATATTAACTTATTTACAAATAAAATTAGACAAATAGTTGAAGTTTTTAACTAAAATTAAACTATTCAAAATTTAACGCCCTTTAACTGGAAATTCCCGTCAAAGAATCTAAACCTGAGCATTAAACATTTTGTGATTTGTGTCTGCTCTGTGCTCTTTATTCTCTTGAGACTTTTTACAGAAGACCATACCTAAAACACCTTGGTATTTATACCTTTTAGAGCTGTTGATAGAGAATTTTATAGCACCATCAACCGATTGCGGTTAGGACACTGCCGAATACCAGCAACTTTGTTTAAAATAAAACTGACTGAAAGCAACATCTGTCAATATTGTCAACTAAACGAAATTGCAGATCTTGAACACCCATTCTGAAATGTCCAAATTTCGCTATGCAACGCCTAATATTAGCAACAAATATAGAAAAAACTGTGAAAGATGTACCCCGCCAATTGCAAGATTTATTGCAGATCCCAGAAATATATAGATACTTATACAGATATGTAAAGGAAACGCTTATAAATATATAAATTATTTCAATATAAAGACACGGCTGAAGGCCATGAAAGCCGGGGCCGGTAAAACCTTAAAAAAAAAACTTTAGACTTTACCATAGACAATATTTTCTGTATACTTTTTGTTTGCTCTCGTTTCTTTTTTGCGAAACTTACGGGTTTATTTGTAAAAATGATTCTATCAAAAATCTAAAGATTCTTTGTAAAAATGAAAAGGACTACACAGTTATTCGATCTATACTGGGAAGACATTCTTGTTGACAAAGTTCTGCCACACCTCACAATGCGCGAGTGTTTTAACTTTCGATGTGTATCAAAAACATGCTTACAAATAATAGACATGTATTTTTCAAAGCTCAAAGCACTAAAATTGATGAACAAAGGCTTTTCGCCACACACATTTAGTGTGAGTATCCAATACTTATCCTAAAAGAAATTCCGCAATTTCATTTTTTCTTCTATTACAGGTGTTTACAGTAAATTGTACAAAACTGAATGTGTTAAATCTGAGCAGATGCGCTACCCTCACGGATGCTGACCTCATTCCTATGTTACTCAATAACCCTGGATTGGTTGTTCTAAATCTCAGCCAGTGCAAGAATTTGTCAGCCAAGTGCTTGCAACCAGTTATTCTCTACTGCAACAACTTAAAAACTTTAAAACTCGCGCGTTGTGCGTGGCTCACTACTGGAGCCATGGAAGCCTTGGCATTACACCAATGTAAACTAGAAGATGTTGACTTCTCACACTGTTTGAGTATATCAGAGAGCTGTATTCTGATATTTATTAAGAAATTTAGATATTTGAAGACATTGAACCTCGAAGGTGATAAGCAAGTAACAGATAAAAGCCTATATGCTTTATCCAAATACAGCACTTCATTGCAGCTACTCAATTTAGGAGGTTGTACTGAAGTCACAGACAAGGGAATCAGGTAAAAATGATATTATATGTGTATAATTGAATATTTTTTGTTAATATCAGTTCTTAACAAACTAAAGTGTCTGCAGAATGTTTGCTTTAAATTTATTATCAATCTTCAAAAATATGACTGTGTTGTATTTCTGCTCCAAGTTAAAATGGCTCCCTATTCACTGGCGCAGAGACTTGCACACTCTTACGGTTCTTTACTCTATTCTTTTCCTCCTATCATATATATATGTACATTCTTTAGTTTATTATAACCTATATACACTATTTATTTATATTTCTCAATATTGCACCCACTCTCTATGGATGTTTATTCATTTTCACCAAAGGTAGCCTGGAAAAGATTACTTTATATTAATAATGCCACCATTTATTTAGTCAATCTCTTAAAAAATAAGTTTTTGTAAACAATGTATCATCATGAACACAATAAATGATATTATTATTAAATAGCTTACTTGCCAATATATCTTGAGATGTCTCTCAAGTCCCAAGAGAGGTTTTTGGTAAAGCCAATTAATTTTTTATTAGGATTCAAACATCTGTGGTGGGCTCATCGTGTTAATTTCTGGTTGTGCCTACTTACAGTTGACATTTTTATACTCAATGGAATAACTGCATTGATTAATATAATTTTTCTTACAGAGCTTTAGCTCTCCATAGTCCAAAATTGGCAGGACTTTTAGTGAGAGGTTGTACTAAAGTCACCGAGAACAGCTTACAGCTTATGAGGAATCGAGTAAACCTGGACAGAAGACCTGTAGATCCTGTCCCATTGCCAATTTATGTCCAAATATAATGAATGAACAAACTCAGTGGGTTTTGTGCAGACTATATGAGACTACCATGTGGGAACACCATATTGTCATCAGCTTCAAGGAACTGTAGAAATGAAATATAAATTTTTTATAAATAATGCTTGCAATCATCATCCTATATGTACTCTGCACAGAATAATATTTTGAAAGGTGATTTTGTACACTTATAAAAGTAGGGGCATCCTATTTGCTTTGCCAATCCTATACTATTAATTAATATAATGCTGCTGCCAGCCCAATACTCGCAGCTCTATAACACTCTATATGGTTAGCATGTTTAATTTGATTCTGTGATGTGGACATTAAACAACTTTTGCAATAGGCGATCATAGGATGGGTGACCAAAAATGTATTAACTCTAACTTCTCCGTGGTTCAAAGGTTGTGTAAAGCTAGCTCTATAGTGCTTCAAAAGACATGTAATGTTCTCCCTTTCCTGATTACTTCTATGGTTGTTAATACCCACCAAGGGCCTGCATGGTGGCTGCACAGGGCCTGCATGGTGGCACATAGCCCATTATCCTTAAACAATGCCACCCACAATACAGGACCTTATTAGGTTGGTGAAGGTGATGGTGTATGAGAATCAGCCAGAACTTGTACAAAGAGCTAAAGTACTATCATATTGTGTTTTATAATTGCCTATATGAATATTATTGTTGAACTTTCATATTTTTTATTGAGTTCCCAATATTCCGGCCCTGTTGTAAATTACCTAAGTTACAGGGGGATGGTTTTGGCAAATGTATAAATCCATTATCTTTCAAGTCCTCTTACATTTGATAAAAATAAGGTACACAGTAGCAATACCATATATGTATAACTATTATTCGAATAGTATCTTTATATATTTACTCTTTATGAGAAAGTATTAATGGATGTTTTATAAAAAAATTACTGTAAAATGTTGCAATAATTTTTTGTTAGTTTGGATATTAAAATGTAAGATATTTCTATAGCTTATATAAGTGTATTTAATTTAATGTGATGTAAAGTTGTCGCGCTGTTGTAAGGATTAGTCTACATGATTTTTTTTATTTATTAGTGGGACATTGGCAATTGTAATGAATTTTAAGATATATACAGTATAGCAATTTTTCTAAATTCCGCCTGAAATGTTACTATTGAAATAAAATATTTAATTTAAAATATTTAGTTTATTTCTGTTATTGTATCCATCAGTACCGCTCACAGCATCGACATATATTGGTTTCACGATATATCGTATCCCTAAACGCAATTCTGTCACCAAAACGGCGACCAGGAGCATAAGCAATGAGAAAGTATTTAAAAAAAAAAAACTAATTTACTTTTAAACTTAAAAGAAAACCAGAAAGGTTGTCATGGAGAAATCAACAACGTTCCGTAGCGACATCTAGTCGGGAACTAATTTTTTTTTAATGCTTCCTCATTAGTAATTTACGGGACTTGTACCTTTAGCTTCATGACTTGTACCTTTAGCTTCATGACTTGCACCTTTAGCTTCATGACTTGTACCCAGTGGCGGACTAGGGGGGAGGGGGGGGGGTCCGCCCCGGGCCTCTTATCCTGGGGGGCCTCCAAATTGGGGTTGTGCTGCCTTATCTTTCTTATTTTCATAGTCTTAGCAGGGGAGGCGGTGTAAACACAAAATCAAGTTTCTGCACCAGTTGTAAAAAGTTGTAGATACGGACCTAATGCCGCCCCGGGCCCCCGACAGGGTTAATCCGCAACTGCTTGTACCTTTAGCTTCATGACGTAGTAGGTACACTACTACATTGATGTTAGTGCATCGATGTTAACTTTTGGTAACAGCGACATTCTTTTAAACGTGTATATTTTCATAACATCTGCTCCGAAAAATAGCACGGCGTTTGATTATTTTGAAATTAACGCTTTTTTTTGAGAGTCAGTCGTTCAATTCATGATTTAATTCCCATCTCAGAATACCCTGGTGCTAGTGGATTTATTAAGTATTTTTCATTTAGAATATAGGGTGAGGTGTTGAACAGTGGCTATGCCAGATACAGTGGCTCAGTAACAGTATGAGGGTATAGGATAAAGATATAGAACTGCCTCTTTCACTCATAGGTAGTATTTGGGATACCAACTTGTCACAACTAGTCGAGCAGCGCCTACGCCGCGGAGTGTGTGTGCTACAAGCATTTATTATAATTTTGAAAAATATATTTACTTTTAAGGTAAGATATTTTCTGTTTCAACTCAAATATAGGTTTTTTTTTTACTATTGCTTCATTTCAACTGTTGATAGTATTAAACAAAGGTTATTTTCACGTATAAAAACATTTGATATTATGAATATTATTTTACCTACATGCTTTGGAATTCAAAATGGCGATTTCGTACACAGTGGCTCAATCAACGAAGGTACACAGTGGGTCTTGATTCACTGTGTACTACTGGATTATTGTACTACTGGTGTGATTTTATCAACTTAAATAAGAAAGTTTTACCTACTAATTTAATATTATGCTTACTTACAATAATCATACTTATTTGTCGCTTACGGACGTGTTTTTGGTTTTGCTAAAATTAGGTTCTTTTATTTTTAGGATGCCACGTTCAGAAAAACCCCGTTCTATCGGGGCCCACACTGAAGAAAATATGAGAGATGCTTTGCAGGCAATACAAAGAGGTATGAGTGTGAGAAAAGCATCAAAAGATTACAACATTCCTTTTACTACTTTAAGGCGATATTACCTGAAATCAAAACATTTTTCTTCTGTTGAATCCATGCGGTTAGTACCTCACTATGACGTAAATAAAGTATTTTCTAATAATCAGGAAAAGAGTCTTAAAGAATATATTACATATTGTTCGGCTTTATTCTATGGTATGACATCAAAAGATACAAGACGGGTCGCATACGAAATGGCAAAAAATAATAATTTGAAAATGCCTGAAAGCTGGAATGTCCAAAAAATGGCGGGAAAAGAATGGCTGCGGAGCTTCATGCGAAGGCATCGAGACATTAGTTTGAGAAAACCTGAAGCGTGCAGTCTTGCACGCGCCACAGCCTTCAACAGGTCAAATGTTGAAGTATTTTTCAATAACTTAGAGACATTGATGAAACGATACCCAGAATTAGGAGCAAATCGTATATTTAACTTAGATGAAACATCCACTACCACTGTACAAAAGCCTCAGCGTGTAGTGGCACCCAAAGGTCGCCGCAATGTTAGTAAAGTTACGAGTGGAGAGCGAGGAACTCTCGTAACAACTTGTTGCATTATAAGTGCGGGTGGTATAGCACTACCTCCTGTTATGGTGTTTCCAAGGAAAAATTTTAAAAATTTTATGATCAAAAATACACCTCCTGGTACTTTGGGGTTAGCAGCATCAAGTGGTTGGATGAATTCAGAAATTTTTCCAGAAGTTATCCGGCACGTAATAAAACATTCCAATTCTACACCTGAAAATCCTTGCATATTAATAATGGACAACCACGAGTCGCACTTGTCGTTAGAAGCACTAAATTTGGCCAAAGCTTCAGGAGTTCACATTTTAACTTTGCATCCTCATACATCAGCAAAATTACAACCCCTCGATGTTGGGATCTATGGCCCATTCAAGACCTATTATAACGGAGCCATAGATTCATGGTTGATGCAACATCCTGGAAAACCTGTAACCATTTATGATGTAGGCGAAATAGTTGGTACGGCCTTCCTCAAAGTAATGACACCAGTCAATATTATTAATTCGTTTAGAAAATGTGGGATTTACCCATTCGACCGCAACATTTTCACTGAAGCTGACTTTATGCCAAGTACAGTGACAGATCGCCCGTGTCCTAATGACGAGGATCAAATTTTAAATTCACCAGATCATGATACCACCGCCGACGCTCCGATGCTCCAAGCTCCTAGTTGCTCCGATGACGCCGAGTTACCTATTCACAATCAGTCACCAATCCCTACTTGCTCAAACTTTATTGATAATTTGAATTTAGCAAATGAACCGGCTACCAGAGAAAATTCACCATCGATTATTATTAACTTTTTTGCTGAAAATAATTTGGACTTAGAATTAGGATCACAATTAGATTCATCAAGACATATTTCTCAAATACTGACGGAATCCACTTTACAATCTAATACTTTAAGCAAACCTATTGAATCGCCGATGCGTACCACTGAAGTAAGGAAGAGTCCTCATTTTATATCCCCATTTGAATTTAGGAATCCTATTAAAGCTGGGCCTAGAAAATCTGAACGGAAATCCAGAAAATTAGGACGTAGTATGATAGTAACTGATACCCCCGAAAAACAAGAAATAGAAAAGGCTAAATCTAAAAAAAAAGTACATCCAAAACAAAGAAAAGTGATAAAGAAGGTGTTACAAAGTGACTCTGAAGATCAGAGTGAAGAAGATCAAAACATTAATGTAGAATACCAGGAATCAGATGAAGATAACGAGTGGCCAGATGATGACATCGAAAATGAAACAATTTGTTTGACAGAAAATGATTTCACTGATCCTCTACCAAGACCGCCTCGAGAGGGTGAATTTGTTTTAGTAGAGTTTTCTACTAAGAAGCAAAAAGTTTTTTACATTGGCAAAGTGCTAGAAAGCAGAAATCATAATCTTGACTATTACATTAGCTATCTGCGTAAGAAGGCCCATGGTAAATATGCCATGCCTAATAATCCTGATTTGTCGATTGCAAAAGAGCGCGATATTAAATATATATTGCCAAAACCCACTTTTGGAGGCAGCACCATGAGACAGCAATCTTATTATTGCTTCCCAATCGATTTTTCGAACCTGAATGTTCATTAAAATGTTATAGTTTCGTTTTACTTATTAATTATTAAGAGATTTAAGAGGTTGTTTTGTTTGATTATATTTGATTTGTTTTGAATTGACATTTAGTCGATATAACCAAAAAAGCCATTTGCATTTAATGTTGCAATGTAGGTTGTAATTGCATTGCAATTATTTTATTAATATTTTATTTCTTTTTGGATGCATATTTACTTAGTTACCTAGTTTGTATGACTAAAGAGTCCTAGTGCATTTTATATTTAAGTTTTTTTTAGTTTAACTAAATAAGTTCAAAGTGTTCTTATTTTTTTAATGTTGAAGATGTTTATTTGAAGAGTTGAAGAAGATATTATTGTGATCTCTAATATTGTGACTGATTTTATTACATATTGTACCTAAGAGTTCAAATACTTAATTAAAAACTTGATACTACAGTTTTTTATTTCATTTTAGAATCAATTATCCACTGTTACTGCCCCGATCCACTGTGAACATTAGGGCGAGCCACTGTTCAACACCCAGTGTACACAGTGGCTCATTTTTGACTTTTTAAAAAAGTGTATACATAGTATTATTTTTAACGCTATTCATAAAAACAAGTCACCTATATTAAACTAGATTACATTTCCTACCTACTATCTCAATTTTCGTCTTTCTAACTCAATTCAGAGCTGATCTACAGCCTCTGGAAAAAAGTGATCCACTGTTGAACACTTTACCCTACAATAACCTAGAGTTAAGAATTGGATAATGGATTCTTTCTATAGCGCGTGGTCGAGACCACAGAACACATTTACTCCAAGGTTGAGACCTAGTAATAAAGATACTGTACTTTGGTTTTTGTACATTTTGTAACAAAGATCTTATAAATGAAATATTTGAGTTTTAATCTATGGTACATAAGTACTAAAAAAATATAATTAATTTACAATAACCTAACCTTCGTACTTATCCCTTACTACTAAAAAGAAGCAATGATGATTATGATCAGAAAATACGTTTTGATTTCTTTGACCAAACAGATATTTACAGATTATAACAGTTGCTACTACAGACAATAGGTTCAAGGCATCTGGCAACACTGTTCATTAGTCTGTAATTACATCGTAAGGGTGGTGTAAAATAAAACTATTTTGTTTTTTCACAAAATTATATTTTGTGTCATAACACCTGCTACAATGTTTCTTACTGTCATTGTATTTACAATATTTAATATACTACACATTAGTAACAAATAACATTGATAACCTTAGTTTATAATTAGAGAATAATTTATTAACTCACAGTGCCATGTAGCCCTCGGGCAGCCGCACCGCTATTGCTAATTTATTAATAAAAATACGTGCGAAAGGCTCCAACTAAACATAATAAACCAAAATACTTAAAAATCAATTGCAAAATCAATGTTAATTACATTTGGTAATAAATTACTGGGATAACACGAAATAATGCTTAAGCGTTACGTGAAAAGAAAATTACGTAATAAAAAATTCAAAACTTATAAGCATAAAAAGAATATAAAAATAAGCATCGTTTAGGCCTGGCTGTCACTAAACGTAACTAATGGCCACGGGCCGCACTCTGATATCTACACCATTAACATATCCACATTCATGAAAACATAAATGTTAACATACAAATATACTACTTCTATCTCTATATTTATAAACCTTGTTTTAATAGAAACTTTACATTTACAATATCTTACACTGGAACACAAGCAGACAGGATGAGAAAGAGGCACTTCGAAGAGAAACTGGATCTTACTGTAAATCAAACATATGCAAACAAATGGACTGTACAAGCTTGTAACAATAGCTATGTGTGCAACAGAGATTGTAAACAAGTTATAAAATAGTGAGTTTCAAAAGAATTCTTACATTATCAGGAGTAAAATTTGTGATTCGAAAAAACATTGCACTTATTTTCAATATAACCAAAGACTTAATATTAATTCTTTGGAAATCAAGTATATATTAATTTATTACGATTTAAGCACTCGCCCTAGACCACTGTCTAACCCTTAGATTATCACAGTACTCGCATAGAGCCAGCTGAATTATCAAGTACGCCAATATAAAACATGCCTTCCTAGCAGAATACATACAATTATTGCACTATAGATTTATGCTACGTTTCACTGACAAAGTCATAATTATTGTAAAGGTTTATACATCTTTATCTGCAAATTTTGTACTTTACTCAGCTTCCATATAGTGTACAATGTTTTCTCAAAGAGAAAAAAATATTACATACATATGATACAAAAACGATAACAGAGCTGCCATCCTTCACTGTCACAACGGAAAGAGGTCTTCTCACCGGGGCGGAGGCTTAAGGCAACCAAAGTGGTGTTAAATATTAACCAGTAACATTATATACAGACTACACTTATCCGAAGCGTTTATTTGTACTATACCTTAATTACTTAATTCACACTGCACTTTTGATCACGACCGGACGACATCCCGCCAGGGGATTGAGTATTGTGGTCACGCACGTTCACCGTTCACTTATTCATAGATATCACACTTTTTGACAGTGTCACTGAGTTTTGGGTCGGGGCTACCGACGCATGGAGGTGTTGAGAGTCTGCATCGCGAGGGGCGGCGGCGGGTTGATGTACCCGTACGCGTACACGTTGGGCTGCTGCGCGCGCGGGTCCGCCGCCGGGTACTGCTGCACGTTCATCATCTGCACGGGCAGGTTGTTGAACTGCTGCTGCGGCGGCACGCGGTACCCGTTCAGGCTGTACTGGCTTATGATGTGTGTGTTGAGATTCGGCGACATACGGGAGCCGGGCGCCATTTGCATATGTTGCATCGGACTCAAGTTGCCTGGAGGGTTATAAGAAAAAATTTACAAAATTCTATCTAGGTTTGGATGAGTTGTGGACCAACATATTATGCAATCCTATGTGAGCATTATAACAACTCGGGCTCAGTATGGGATCAATAAATTGCTGATGCTATGTTACTGTACGACTATGGATTGCGTTTATAACTAAATTATAAATTAAATGGAATAATAACTTACTAATGATTCATGAATAGTGGGGAGAGTGAACTATATGACCAATGCACGTTGAAAATGACAATGTCACTAACCAAAAACGATGTATTTTTTACTTTTGGCAACATTTTTCTTTGTTCCCTGTGAACATAGCTTGCATAGAAACTGCTAGGAGGTGTAGTGACAATACGTTGTTTAGAGGGGCTGATTACAATTTCTTGAACTATAAACGCTCATTACTCAAAATCGCATTTTTTGCATCGTTCTCAACGTGTGAAAAAATAAGTCATGTTCCTTTGATTTTAATACCAGGAACTTATTTAAAATGATAATTTGCGATTTTTATTTCACTAGGACGTGTCATCTTATTCGTATATGTTAAGGTATGAAGCAATGTGTGATGTGTGGTGTGCGATGTGCGATGTGAGTGTACTGACTGGAGGTGTTCCTGTTGCGCGGCGAGTCGAGCTGGTTGTGCGGGGGCGCGTAGTACTTGGCGGCGTGGTAGCCCGCGCCCGCGCCGCCCGGCGGGGTGCCCGCCTGCTGACCGTACTGGCGACAAACACGGCACATTGTCATATCATATATTTCTCATCGATTCATGATCCTCCCACCACCTTACATCGCACGCAATGAATATTTGTATTTATTTTTTAAATCCCGAGATGGGCTCACTCTTGACCTCAGGCGTAATAACCGTAAGGCCTAAGATAGGACGAGTTTGCCCAGAGGATACCTATTCTCTCATGCTTTAAATATTCTTGGGTATCCTATATATCCTATAGATACGGGGAAAACAGGCAAGGAGGCTTTTCCACTCCTTGGCTGTGCACATAATAATGATTCAAAGCGCTTTGTTTTTGTGAACCAGGTGGGCGTGATAATTTGCTGTACGCCTGAATTCCCGGTAGTAAAAAGGTGCTGGCTAAATGAGCAGATTCAACTCAGAAGCACACTCTTCGAAATACGATCTATAGAATATCGACAGTCAAGCAACTTTTCGGCGATGAGAGAAACTGTGGAGCTTGGAATTAACGAGTTCACAGTCCCCTACAAGTTTTCTGGCTCTGCGGTCCACCGAATCGGGGGCGGCAAGCTGCTGAACCATCTCAAAGGTGTGAGCAATTTATTTTGCAGCTAAAACGTTTTTGCAGCTAGATCGATTTCTCTCTCAAAATATTTGTGCCTCCTCGATGCCACAAAACTATACCTGCAACAATTACTTTACCCGCTATCCTTATACATACTACTCAGAATTCTCGGACTTGCATTTGTTTAATAACACTATAGCTAGTTTCAAATCACAAACTAAAGAAAATTAATTATGTAAATCACACATTCTCCTTCTTATTTATTAATACAAGTTTTGTACCAAATAATAGTGTACACTTAATATACCAACAACTGATACAATTAACTTGTATTGTTTGTACCAAAATAAAGAGAAAAAAAACAATTTTTTCTTGCCTGATTGTCATTTAATAAGACGCTGAGAGAAAGCTGAAGAATTTTAAAAGTTACAAAGTTTTGAAAAAATGTTTGAGCTAAACATTTTTTCAAAACTTTGTAACTTTTAAAATTTTGATGTCACATAAAATTTTCAACTAAAGTTATCGTAGGTAAATATGACAACCGTAGTGTTATTAATTGCACTATTTGAAATTTTGTCTATACTTAATATTATAAAGAGGAAAGATTTGATTTTGTGTTGGTAACTACTGGACCGATCTAAAAACCTATCTAAAACAACAAATAATGACATCCCTGTAAATGGGAGTGGTGTACTGGTGTACTGGTGTACCTGGTGCGCGGGCGGCGTGTGCGGCGGCGGGTGGTGCTGCGGCGCGTCCGTCATCTGCTGCAGCTTGGCGAGGCTGCACGAGGGGGGCGCCCACCCGCCGCCGCCGTACTGCTGCTGCTGCTGGAACGACAGGTAGCCGCCCTGGTAGCCCGACCCGCCGCCGCCCATCGTCACGCCGCCTGAGTACAATACAACTAGATACATCTTAAATGCTCAGCTATTCTTCTGTACGCCCACTTTTGAGCTAAATGTTGCCAGGTTGATAAGAAATGATTTTATACATAATTGTATAACCATAACTGCATGTTCATATACCTATAAGATTATTCATTTGTGCTCCCGGCGAGTGAAATTTTCAGAAGAATAAAATAAGAATTTAGATTTAGAACTAGCGAAGACTATAAATATAATTCATATATAAGAAATGAACAAGGTTACATCTGAACTCTTTCAGTGGTAGTCCTTATATTTGAAAACAGAAAAAGAAAGTGTCGCTCACCGTGCGGCTGATGCGCGGGCGGCGTGGCGCGGTGGCGCGCGGGCGGCGTGGCGGCCGCGCGCAACTTGTCCGCGCCCCCGCCCCCGGCCCCGGCACCGCCCGCGCCCCCGCCCCCGCCCCCGCTCGTGTTATTGCTCGTCGCGCTGTTCCTGCGTGCAACGACACAATACTATATTCACATCATGCTCGGATAATTAACTAATAAAATTATCTAGGAAAAGCATTAGAGACGATTAGAAAAGATTATTTGTGTATTTTAAGTTGTTAGATAAAAACGTAAAAAGTGTATCAGAGTGATGGACGATAGTCACCTATTCCTGTTGTTGATCTTCTGCTGCTTGGGCTGCGTCATGATGGCGGGGATGTGTATGGAGGAGTGCGGGTACTGCGGGCTGGGCGCGGGGTGCATGTGCATCATGGAGCAGGGCGAGGCCAGGTCGGAGCCGATGCTGGAGGGCGACTCCAGGCCCAGCTGGCTCACGTCCAGCTCGCAGGCGCCGTACTGCACCGAGTGCACCGAGTTGCTCGTCGAGTCCGGCGTGTACACGCCCATCGACTGCAGCGCCGGGCTCACCGCCGAGCACGCCTCCTCCTTGCCGCCGTCCTTGGGCGAGTCCTCCTTCTTGTGCGCGCGGCCCTTCTTGTCCGCGTCCTGCTTGTCCTGCGCGCAGGGCCCGTTGCCGTAGGGCTTGCAGGGCGGCGAGGCGAGGTGCGGGCTCTGCTGCCGGTACTCGCAGCCCTCCTTGGCGGCCTGCCGCTGCAGCAGCTGCTTCATCTGCGCCTCGGCGGCGGCCTTCTTGGTCTCGCTCTGCGTCTGGCACGCGGTCGCCTTTGCCTGCTTCGAGGGCTTGCCCTCGCTCTTCTGCGAGCACTCCGCCTTCGTGGTCGGCGTTTTGGTCTCCTTGAAGTGCGGTAGCCCGGCCGTCGCGTAGATTCCGCCCGAGAGCGCCCCGTACGCTATGTTGTGAAAGTCCTTCTGGTCGTATTTCGGGTGCAGCTTCTGCGGGGACTTCTGCATCTGGTCGAGCGGCGGGAGGTTGAAGCCCTGAAATTTTTCCAGGTACGTCTTGTCGCTGTTCTTCATCTCGAGAAATCTGTTCGGGTCCCACGTCCCCTGGAGGCGGGCCGGGTCCCATGGCGCCCACTGGTATTGCGCGTGGGTCGTGTGGTAGTTCGGAATCTGGTTCATTGCGTAGTCCGCTTTCGGAACGGGCTCGTTGTCGTACTTGAACTTCGGCGGGACCTTGTTCGAGTCGCCCTGATCGAGCTTCGGATTGAGCAAGGCGGTGCAACTCTTGTCGTGTTTCACCGACGAGGTTTTGGAGTCGCATTTGGAGGCACTAGACTTCTCCTTTTTTAAAAAATCCTGCTTCTTTGGAGCTTCTTGTGTTTTGGTTTCGGATTTGCTCGTCACCGCCGCGGAATTTATAACGTTTATAGGGACCGACGTCTCCGGTTTTCTAGTGTTCGCGTTCTGTTCCGGAAAAAACATTTTCGGCTCCGGCGTGCTTCTCGGCGTATCAGTTTTTGTGGCCTTCTTTTCGGTTTTCTCGAGTTTGCTGTGCGCCGAATTCACTCGCACGTCCCGTAGTTTGCTTTTTTCTCTCGGTTTCAGGTTAGGGTCATTTTTAGACTCCTGTGAACTGGACTGAACGTAATTCATAGAACCGGTCAACACGTTTTGCATTGCACCCCCGTTCCCGAAATTTGGATCCATATCAGTTCTTTCGATGCCTAAATTTACAACAGCGTTAGCACTTTGACAGCGCGGTAAAAAATTAATGTCCGTAACGTTTGGGACCTTTGGTATCACAGGATTTATAATTGGCGATGTTATAGGATGCGGTACTTCTAACTTCGTAGCGGTTTTGCTTATTACTGGAGCTGAGTCGATAACCCGGTTTACCTCACTAGTTTTTAAATGTACTTTGTCAGTTTGAACACCTTGCGACTCTTTACTAACGTTTATTCTATGACTGAGAAATGAATGTTGTGCTGTGTTGATTTGTTGTATTGTCATTGAATTACTGACTGGAGGAAAACTCGGCATACTGGTCTCCACAATATTTCTAGTTATAATTATTTCATCTTTTCTGTTATTTAGCAGATCATTACGAAACGAGATTTCATTTTCCTTAGACACTATAGGGTTTTGATTCAGTAATTTATTTCTAGAATCGTTCTCTACAAATGCGTCAATTTTAGACGTTTCCAAATTCTTGATATTAGACGAAACATCTTTTTGAGGATCTAAATTTTGAATGATGGTCTCAATTTTGGTAGGCGATTTTTTATCTGGTGTTTTCGCTTCATCAGTAGTTTGATGTTGAATTACGGTTTCTTTTCTCATTTCACACTTCTTTTGTTCATTAGCATCTATGTAATTTTTTTCTGGTGACCTCTTTTGCTTTGGTGATTCAGTAGTGACTATTTTATCACTCTTCTTAGGTGATATACATAGTGGAGAATTTGCTGTATCTGACTCCCCTTCCACAACTATAGTTTCTATTTGGTGTGGTTGTTTGGGGATCATATCTACTGGAGATCTAATAGCATTAACCTCTTCTTGAACTTTAGGGTCTAGTACAATATGAGCGTTTTCTGTTGACACTACTGGTATTACTTTAGATGGACTTTCGCTTTCTTCGATTTCTTTGGGCTTATTTTCATTATTCTGAGGTACGGGTGCAATTATATTAGGTTTGGGGGATGGCAATGGACCACTTTGACTATTATTATCGTCGGATTCCGATATAACTATAGTATCTTTGTCGTCGATTACTGGCTTAGCAGGTGATTTCATTTCACCATTTCTAGGTTCAGGCACTTGCTTTTCATTAGAATCTTTTGCTACAGACTGTACTTCTGCAATGTCATCATTTACTGAATTTGAAACTTCTATTCTAATATCATTTTCGATAACTTCTTTTTCCAAATTTTCATTAGCAGATGTTTCATGTATTATTTGGTCCTTTTCTGCTATGGATTTCGGAGAGTCCATATGAATGCTATCTAATTCCATGTCACTGGTATGATGATCTGTACTGTTTTCTTCCAAATTTCTTGGCGTCGCAGGTTTGCTTGATATGCTCCGCCTATCTTCGCCTTCCTCCACATCCATTTCATCGTCCGCTTCACCAGATGAATCCTCTGAGCTAGCTTCAGAGTTCTTGTCTTTTTCAACTGCTTTATCTTTGTCATTGATTAAAAGACTTGGTGAAGTTCGAGTCTCATTCACTGTAGAAATTGATTTATTATCTTCTTCTACAGAGTCATCTGTTTTATAATTAATGATTTCCTGGTTATCGTCGGACACCTTAGCCAACTTAGCCACTGGTGAACCAGACCGTTTTTTAGGTGTCCTGTTGACCTTTAGTCGTTTCCTCGGGCGCCCTTTCCACGCCATTTTTCTCTTTTTCCGCGCTTTATCGAGATTAGCAACAGGAGTGATTACATTAGCACACTCTTCTTGACTCTCTTGGCTATCAGAAACATAAGCAGGCTTTTTAACGTTTTCAGTTCTGTTTCTTGCAGAACTATCTTCTTCATTTGTTTCATTTTGTAAAGCCTTAGATTTTCTGGAAACACTAGTACTTCTTGGTCTTCTTGTTCCATCATACATATAAAATATATTGTAATCTTCAACATTTGATTCTGGCAATAATCTATTGTAATCTTGTTTCCGCTTTCGACCACTTTCACCAACCACCTGTGTTTGATATGTGGTTTGACTATATTTCAGTGGACGCGTCCGTTTCCTACCGGATGATGTCACCTCCACTGGTTTTTTCTGTATCATCTCTTTGCACTCTGATTCGTTAACGTCTTTTTCTTCCGTTTTCGGTTCAGCTTCCTCTGTCTCAGTCTCCTGATCGCCAGACCCTTCTTCTGGCGATCTGAAAGGATTGACGGTGGGCGCTAAAAGCGGCGTCCACCTTAAACACTCGGGATCGATTTCCAGCCGTGGTCTACTTCTCAACTTTTTCATGTGATTTTCTACTTTATTCCAATCTATACACAAACCTAGCTTCGTAGAATCATCGTTTGGGATATACCTTACAAAACCTAATAACTGAAATGTAACAGCGATGTCACTCATGTGCATTCCTGTCGTGTGAGCGATATCTTCAAAGGTGAACGGTTCATTTTTATGATCATAGAGATATTCGAGAATAACAGATCTCCAATAGGCATGATATGACACTCTTCCAAGATCTGACAGAGGTTTTTCTGGGGTGCCAGGTTGTCCCTCTTCTTTCGACAACAGATAACCTGGTGAGAAAGACAGTATATTACATTATTATTTGTACGTAAATACTCACGTAATTGCTATCGATTTAAATAAGTTATACTCATAAGAATATAAAATAAACACTAATATATTAATAACATAGAATAGAAAAGATTTCACCACTCACTAAAATGGATGAGAAATCTCCCGTAGCCCTGACGCTGGTACTGCGGCATTGTCATTATACAGGAGACATTGTACTTCTGTTGACAATGTTTCTCTTTGGAGAAGTATCCGACGAGATGGCAACCTTTGCTATCATTTTTAGTGAGAACGTAGAAGAGGAACGGTTCAACGTCATAGTAGAGTGTTTTGTGGTCGAGGAACAGCTTCGCGAGGAGACACAAATTCTGGCAGTACATTTTGTTGGCATTCCCGTCTACTTCGAACACGGAGATGTCGCCGCAGCGATATATCTCTGTGGCCGGCGGATGGCGCCACAGGCATTTGTCGAGATGGCGCATCAACACCGCCCGACTTTTGGCGTATTTAAGACAGAATTCGCAAAGGAACAATTTAGGTAATCTGAAAAGAAAACAGGAAAATGTTAATTTATCGCAACATAGCTAATACCAAGTAGTTTTAATGGTTCACAATGATATGCTCACCTGGCATACTCCTGTGGGAAAGGGCTCGAGTACCATGTTTCTATCTCCCATTGGCCAAACTCAATAGCAGAGGGACACCTCGTGGGCACGTTTAAGGCGGGCGAGCTAGACGGCGCGGGAACGGGACCGAGGTCGGGATCTAACGAGGGAGGAGGCGCGGGCGCGGCGGCGGGGGCCGGGGAGGCGGGGGCGTCCTCGTCTTGTGTCGTGGCCGCCGCCGCCGCCGCCCTCGCTTGGTTGAATAAGTCCGAATCCGTCTCTGTCACACCCGCCGGTAATCGCTTTTTCTCTGTAAGAACATAATCTTGGTACAACTGCCGCGGACGCCATGTTAAAGGATGCGTTCATGATTAAACGTTTAAATGGTAATAAAATAATACAACACAACATGAATTATGAAACAAACGAAAGAAATGCCTGTCAGTTCCATGACATGGCAAAAGCATAAAGCGAACATAGTCGTGGGAGCCCGACTGCTCGCGACGATTAACAAAATCATATTTCGAACAGCATATTTTAAAATTCGGATTAAGCTTATCGCGAGCAGACGAGCACCTGTGAGAATCTTTCGACGGCGAAATCCGGAAATATATCGTTTCCGACGCGTCCGGGGCCCGGCGAAGCGACGTCGAAAGATGCTCACCTCGAGAAACATTCACGCCTCGATGAGAAGCGCGAGCGAAAGTGCACGTGTGGATACTGCCGAATCCCGACAAACGAACGATACGTCATCGGCGCTCGACGTCCGATCAGCGAGCTGAATTAACGGAGTACGCGAGGCTCACTCACCCCAATCCGAACAGAGATTCGGAGGAACGAACGCGAGAGACAGCGGAGCGCCGGCCATCAATCAGAGCGAGCGGGAGGGTCAGATCCACCACGACACTTTCACCGCACTCACGAACCGTTCTTACCCGTCTGATTGTTGGCCGGCCTCCCGCCGCCACCCGGACGCGTCGCCAACGCTAAGCCGCGGTACAGTTTGTCGGCGTCCTCCGACGCGCCGCGCTTGCCCACCGCCAAGTTCCTAACTAGCTGCGACGCGGTCAGTTCCCGATATACGCTACGTTCCCTACTGCGCGCCCGGGACCGCGACCGAGACCGGGCCCGGGCCCGGCACTGAGACGGCGCTCGAAACCGAGACGGGGACCGTGCTCGCGACCGAGAGCGCGGCCGGGCCCGGGGCCGGGACGGCGACCGCGGCCGGGACGGCGACCGCGGCCGGGACGGCGACCGGGAGCGCGGCCGCGGCGGGCCCCGCGCGCGCGCCTCGTCCTCGGCCCGCGGGCGGGCGCGCGCCCCGCCCAACGACGCCTGATACCGACGAAACGTGCTCCGAGTCTCTTTCAACACCTGCCGCTCCTCCGGGTCACGCTCGCGCACGGCCCGGGCTCGCGATTGCGATCTCGACGCCGACCGGACCGAGTAAAATTCCGAGAGGCCGTCGAAGAGAGTGGTCAACGAACGTTCGCCGCCCCGACTGCGGCGTCGATGCCGAGCGTTTTCGACGGGCGCGGGAGGGGTTCGTTCGCGACGCTGCTTCTGCGCTTCGGCGGCGAATCCCCACGCGGCGCCGGGGCTCATGTCGGCGGCGAGCCGTTCGAACACGGTACAGAAGCGGTCCGGGGTCGGGGCCGGCGCCGGCGGCGACGGAGAGGATTCCTCCTCCGAGGAGGAGGAGGACTCGGGTTCGGGCTCGGGCGGGCGACGCTCGAGCCGCAGCTCGAGCCGCTGGACGCGCGTCACGCGGACGCCGCCCCACCGGGACTCGCCCTCCCAGCGCTCCCACTCGCCGGAAGATTTGCTATCGCGACGTCGCCTCTCGACCAGATTGAACGCGGAAAATTTAAAAAATTTCTGTTTCTCTTTGGACATTCTCTGTTCGGACGGGGGGCGGGCGAGCGGCGGATCATTACCGTCGGATGGTTCGTCGTCGGTGTCGGTCCGCTTCGCCTGCTGCGACTTTCTCCCTTTCGGTGTTGCGCCCATCGTCGCCCTGCGCGAGAAATTTCATTTTTGCAATATTAACATTGTATCGAAAGTATAATACGCGATTAAATTGAACAATCATAACAGTACCGCACGAGTACAGTGTACAGTTCGGTTACCTTTTCGACGGACACACGCTGCACCGCCAGGGCAGGGCCCTGCAGCGCGCATGCACGTACCGGTCGCACAGCGCCACGCAGCGCGCCTCCCAGCCCCCGCCCCCCTCGCCGCCGCGCTTCCCGCACGTGGCGCACTCCTCCGCGCACTCGCCGCACGACCACCGCAGCGACTGCCGGCAATACCCCGCGACCTTACTCGACTGATTCTATTTATTACGATTGATCACCTAAACAGTGTATGCACTGTGCGATACGCCTATTCTATTAATCTGTAAACACGATTTCGTCTATTTTCGAAAAACTACTACGACTCCAAAGATAAGCATTTAACGAGGTGGGACCTGACCCTGCCTCTGATGCCCAGATAATCTTCACGGATATGAACAACGTTATAAGATGATTCGAAATTTTACATCATAATAAACATAGAGATTCTGATTTTGAGTCTTAAAATCGCATGATTATCTTTATCTTAAAATTATAAAAATCGAGTCAAGTGACTTGAAGCACGACCCGCCATTGTGTGACGTCACTGTGGCGATTGCTGTCAGAATAATGGTTGTTTTTTAATTTTACAAGTATAATTTCAAAGAAGAGTAGAATACCCTATTGTTTAATAATCAATTCTGTGATATGATTTAGAGTTTTTTATTCATCACATCTCTAAAAATTTTAATTATCTCATTTTCTCAACTTAAAACATGGTTGTATATATTTCCATTAATAAAAACTGTCCTGCTGAAGTATTACAAAAAATACATAAAGTATTTCAAAAACACAAACTTCATTATGCATTTTTATAATCATTAAAAAATCTACTGTTTTAGATTAGCACTAAATAAAGACGGCAGAATTTACCTACATATAAAGACGACACGACGGCCAGACAAATTATTTACTTAGTAGAAAGAATTTGCCAAAAATTAATTAATAGTGGTATGATACAAAATGCTATAATGAAATATTCTCATACTATTATTAAATATTTGTAAATTCAAATTGCAGTCAAATGACAGCTACTCTCTTTGTAGTGTTAATTGCTACAATTTTCTAACTATAAAAAAACGTAAAAGTAAAGTGTATGGAATGTGAAGGAATCATATTTAATGGGCAATTTCCTATCATTCGGACTACAATACTTTTGTATTTGGGATAAAGTGGCAACCCATTACGGAGATATTTCATTTTATTTACTTTCTTTCACATGTTTATTCATTTTTTTGTCTTTAAATATCACAGTCATATCACCTAATAAAATTGTACCCTGTTAAGACCTATTTAGCCATACATAGATAGCATGCAAATATTAAATTTTATGTTATTACTAGTTTAACAGCCAGTTGCACAAATGTCCTTAAGCTCTAATGAATGTCAAATTTGTATTGGTAATGTTGCTTTAAACTAATGCTACTATTAATGGACGTTTGTGCAACTGTCTATAAATGATCCAAATGCATTTTCATATCATGATACAAAATTATTAATTATGCATGTTACCACAAAAGTTACTAATTTTATTGATAAAATGTCATAAAAGAACATCAAAATTGGTAAAAATCGACGCAACAAAACTTTGTGTCAACTAATATACTGGGGTGTTGGAGGGTTGAGTACGCTTTGGTATGCGGCGCTGAGCTATAGACTCTTCCCTCAAGTCCACCATACACGTCCGCGTCGTACACCCTGGAAATGTTTTGGGATCGCAACGGGCGCCGCATACTTACCATCTACCCCGGACCCCAAAGCAGCCAAGTATGGGGACGATGTCTGCAATGGCAGTCCCACCTTGCAGGCAGTCCTGAACCCTCAATCCCGTCATAATTCCAACAATCCCATCCCTCCCATTCCCCTCCTAACCTTTCCTTCCATCCTATCTCTAATCTTTCCGGGAGGAGACAACCTCGACTCCAAAAACCCCAATCCAAGGTGTCAATCGTACCGTGCCGAGGGATGAATGGCTGAGGGTATCAGTCTCAAACGGTGTCTCTCCGAAACCAGGGTGAATCGGAGTAGTAAATAACCCTTCGGGCGACATGCGGGGCTCTGTCGTTCGTGACCTTTTATTTCCCTAGCTACTCGTGGGTACAACATGGAAAAGGATAAAAATAATCAAATTAGCCTAAACCCTATGTCTTCCGTTCTGGAATCCATCCAGGACGGAATGAACCGTGATGAGGCGAAGAGGACTGCAAAGGACTCTGGAACGCCCATCAGTCTATCCCCTACAACGGAGGTGGAAGTCGTGGTCGAAGGAGGCAACTCTGGATCGCCCGACGCCCCATCCGAAGTAGAGGATACGAGCCAAGGCAGTCAGCGCAAGCGACTGTCTGGAGCAGCACGGAAGCGTCTCCGGAAGTTAGTGGCAGAAGCAGGGGTAGCTACAGAGCAAGCCCTTGTGTTATGCCGCAAGCCATGGAAAGACATTCCGATACCGAAGCCGACCTCTGTGAAGACCCTCAAGAGGGACAGATCAGAGGAAGACTCTCCTAAGGCGCACATCAATAAAGTCGCCAAGTTAAGCCCTACAGCCACAGGCGGCCCAAAGCCCCTTAGCTATAGGGAGATGGCGGAGACCTCCAGAGTGGGGATCCGGAATTCGGAACCCATGACGGAAGCCCAGATGGCGCTCGTACATCGTCACCTCATCGTGGCCCTAACAAAAATGGACGCGGAGGGCGATGGACCTGAATTTGTCGGTTTCAGCCACAGGACAGGATGGATACTGGTAACCTGCGCGAACCAGTATAGCCATGACTGGCTTATAAAAGTGATGTATATGACTGGCATATAAAAGTTAGTTATTCCCAATTTTTGATAATGTTATTATAATAATTAATATAATTTATTTTGTGATATGGCACATATGGTCATTTTTTTCAAGCAACTTTAAAGTATTGACATTTCTGTCACTCCTACTGCAATTGACAAGGAAGGCTATAGAATAACGCACACTAACTTAGTTCACGCATGGAGGCGAAGACATGGCTGTCAGGTAATTTGAGGTACTTGAAGGACTCAATATGCAATATACCAATCCTGGGGATGCCTACTGACACCATGCCCCCGAGAATCGATTCACACAGGACATATCTTGTGGAGATACCCACCAGGGACGACTGGTCAAACAATCGTATAGTATGGAAAAATGGAACACTGACGGCTCCAAATCCGGTCCTGAGGTAGGATGTGGAATTCATGGAGAAGCCCCAAGGAAGGCTATAAGTCTGAACATGGGAAAGTACTCCTCAATATTCCAGGCAGAGGTGTACGCCATTTTGGAATGTGCGGCAGCCAATCTGCAAAATAACTACCTCAATCATACTATCTACATCCACTCTGATAGTCATGCTGCACTCTTAGCACTAGCTTCCGACATAACTAGATCGAAGCTGGTCGAGAACTGCAAACAGACACTGAACTCTTTGGGCAACAACAACAAAGTAGTTCTACGATGGGTTCCAGGGCACGCTGGACACGAGGGCAATGAACAGGCGGACAAACTGGCGAAAAAGGGTGCTAAAGACGCCCTTATCGGACCAGAACCTTTCTGTGGCATCCCTCAAAGCCTAACCCAGCTCACCTTGAAAACTTACTGCCACTACGCAGCTATTCAACTATGGAGAAACACTCCCGGTATGAAACACTCTAAGACCCTGATTAAAACCTTCAACAAAAAGGCGGCATCAGAGGCCTTAAACTTAACCAAAACTCACCTTCGCACACTAGTACGAGCACTCACAGGGCATTGTGGACTGAACAGACACATGCACAATATGGGGATCAGCGACAGTAGAATGTGCAGAGGATGCAAGGAGGAAGAAGAAACACCTTTGCACATTTTGACCGATTGCCCGTTACTAATGCGAAAACGATGTATCTATCTGGGAAAGCACGTGATGCACCCAGACGATATTAAAGAACTTACGGCCAAGAAAATACTACAGTTCCTTGTAGAATGTAATCTTGACCGTGAACTGTAGTATGTGGAGATCACAATAGATCAGCAATGGTCGCAGTGATACTGGGCTGCATAAACCCAAGATAATCCGCAACTCGAAACAATACAATACAATACAACTAATATACTGAACAACATATTTAAAAAAATTGTCTATTGAAAAAAAATCCATTTCCAATAACCATTTAGGTAAGGTACAAGTTAAATGGAGTAGTTGGTAATTGTTTGAAATGATTTGGTATTTTATTATATATTATATATTTTTTTATTCTCAAATGGCATAACATTTTTTTTTTTTATCTTTCAGTTTTTGATGGATTTACATTTTAAGTTAGTAACACTGCTGTTAAATTCATAAGTTAGCTGTCATTTCAGTGTGTCATTTTGAACAATGACTTAAAAGATAAAATTACAGCATGTTTTTAAGTTTTGAAATATTTCAAACTAGTCAACTAGTTTTAATGACTTATAATTAAATTTAGTAACATACATACAACAATGCAAATAGGCAAAATATGAATGGACTACCTACATTGCAAATGATTTTTAAACATATCGAGAACTTACTTGACACTCTACATTCCAAATCTTCATTAAAAAGAAAGAGAAGCTATGGTAGCTTCTCTTGCAAATAGCTATTTAAGTTTTCTACTTTACATCTATATTAACATTCTGATTTCAACACTTACAGTCAGTTTCACAAACATCCATTAAGGTTTAATGGTGTCTTTAAGCTCTGATGAATGTCAAATTTGTATGGATAATGTTGCTTTAAACTAATGACATTTTTAATTGACATTTGTGCAACTGGCTGTTAGTTAGATAGAATATGATTAATTCATTAAACAACAAATTTGAATTGAAATCAAGCAACTTCCATACTTATTTATTATCTTCAAGACCTGTTGTGCAAAACCCCACATGCAAATTGGCACACACAGACATCAAAAATGTCACAAGTATACACATGTTTCGCCCCTCTATAGAACATTTATGTATTTTGGTATAATCCAAAGAAAAGATGCTCAAAGTGTACTGTTTGTTGGTGGAGCAACCATATCAATTAAATATTAAAAGTGTCCATATGCAACATGAACCTGCTATATGTCCTAAAAGACAATCTTCAAACAGACAATCAGCATGATTGAGTTTGGATAGAACAAGTGTACATGACAACACTTAACACTAGAAAGACAGACAGGGGTCTTATAATTTGACTCAATTTGTGAAGTTTAGCATTGTATAATTTCTAAAGTATATATTCATGTTTTGTCCTCTTGTGGCTTTTATTAAAATAGCTCAAATATCATAACAGTAATGAGTTTATTATCAATTGGTCATCATACATTAAATGTAGTTAAATAGTCTTTTGACCCTCACAGCATTTATTGTAATAAAATAAATAAAATATAGAATTGGGGGTGCATCAAAATATTTATTTTATTCTTATACCTCTGGGTTAGATATATGTCATAGGTGTTTGTTGATTTTAATACTTATGAATCAAAATCAACAAAAAAAGAAAAAAGCCAAAAGTATGATGCTCATACTATATGATTTACTGACAAGGCACTAACACAGAAATAATGATCATCAAGTACAAGTACTCACTTTTACTGTAGCTAAACTTGAACGATCCAATAGATTCAGGCACGATGGATGGGCATAAGATTTGCACACATGACAGCAGATAAGGTCTTCCTCATCTCCCAGACCATTTCTAATGTCAGTACCAAGGCACTCTATACATACAGGCACAGCACCTTGAAGGTGCGACTGAAAAAAATACATAAATGCTAAAATTTATCAAAATAAAAAGCTTTTTATTTTTTAGTTTTTTAAATACCAAGAAACAGAAATGAGCTAAAGTTCATAAACATGTAGGAAAGGCAAAGGACATGTTCAGGCACAAGTCTATTCGTGTAAATTTAGAAAATAACTCTGATATAAGCCACATACATAGCTACTTACTTCATCAATTAGATCTTGGGTGTGATTTTGTTTTGTTTTTGGTATTTTCACATAAGACTTTTTAATTGCCTTATAAGCTCCTGCACTGTGACTGAGCAAACCTCTAGCTACAGCGCGCTTGGCAGCAGTGCGCAAAATGCAACGAACATCAACATCATGAGATACTGTAACTAACTGATATGCTTGCCGTAAGTATTTTTCAATAGATTTCAAGGTTGATCCTTCTCGTTCACACAATTCACGTACAGCTTTGGTTACAGCACGAGTTAAGTCAGTATCGGTTGAGATTCGAAGTGTCCTGCTTTGTTTCCCACCTGGATCCTTGTATGAACTTTGACCTTTATTATATACCTTTAAAACAACACCCTCGCGCACTGCTCTTTCCAAACGTTCCGAGACGACATCTTCATGAAAATTATGGTGTTGTCTAATAGCATGACATATTCTTTCTACACTGGGCCTCTGTTTCTGGATCCGGATTTTGTGAATCGCTTCCAATATCCATCTCTTCCACACTTCTTTTCCAACGTCGTCTGGATGGCTCATCTTCGTCAGTTAATGATTATTTTGTACAGCCGTCAGAGTAACGGTACGATATCAGAGTTGTGTCAACACCCATCGTATTTTGGCGCCTCGAGCGAAATCCCATTGTATGGAATGGAATCTCGCTGAAAGCAGTAAGAGTACTAAAAGTTAGCACTCACAACCGGCTTACAGCATGTTCTCGAGGCAGTTGTCTGTCGATGACACATAGGGGCCCACAACCGGGTTTTGGCGGAGCGAGCATCCTATGTCCGCCATCTTGTGGCCATCTAAATTTTACGTACAACAAAACACGCGACGTAAATAATTGTATTTAACAACACTACACTGACGCCGATTTTCATACA